GAAAGAAAACAGTGTTATTGAGATTCTAAGTACTCTCAGTGGTGACGTGAAATGCTAAGTTAGAGCTCTAAATGTAATAAATCAACTTTCTAATTTCCAGGCTGGCGAGGCGCTTAGCTAAAATGATGGACCGTTTCAGTTCGCCATCCTCAATAGTCCTTGAACAAATAAAATACAAGAAATTACTTAAATTACAATCAAACCAGTCTCTTCAGAATGAAAACAACTCGTGCAAGTAAATACGTACGTTACAAATTTCAATATATAATTGTTATCAGTCAAGAGATTTCGAGATGATGCTGACGATATAAAAACAAAAGATTATTCGTAAAGTAATTGATTAAAAGATATTGATTTGATTACGTTAATTTTTTGTTCAGAAAAATTTAATTTACACTTAAAACCAAAATTTGATTGTAACCAAACTATTACAAACAATACAAAAGCAATCTTCAACTCACTTAAAATTACTATTAATATTGGATTTCAGGAATAAATGAAAATGTAAATAAGACCTAACTTGGTTATGATTTATGAAAAAATGAAAATTTTAGCAAACAATTAAAAATTAACATCAGCCGGTTACATTTTATATAAATAACTATTGCCAAGACTATATGTCGCTAAAGACTTGAATTTCTTACTGAATTTTATAATCCAACTTTTCAATGTTCAAATTCTTAATTTTCAGGCTGAAACTTTCGAGATCATGACCATCAATGATCTTTCGAAATAAAAAAATAAAACTAGACCCAGATATCATTGCATTATACAATGCTACATAAATAATGATATGTTATCGAACCCCTGTTTATATCAAACGTGCATTACAAATTCCAAAAGAGAATCGTACAAGAGAGTTCAACATCAAATGAGGAAAACAAAACTAGGTAAATATTATTCTTAAATACAAATTGATGGCGTCTTACAATTAGTTAAGTGGCCTGGCCTCCGTATAATCGCCAACAACCCCCCTTAAAGGCACGAACACCGTTGACTTTCTTCGATGAATCTTCCATAAATGATTAACCTATTCCTATTATTTCCTATTACACAGATTCCCATTTTAATTCAGAGAGAATGACATCATGAAACCATTCTGTACCCAATGATTAGCACGGGTTAGGTTAGGCGTAATCAAATCCCCTTCAACCGGTTCCCGCCTTGTCATAGCGGAGGGGCTAAATAACCGTGGCTTGGTCACCCACGGCGAAGCTAAGAGGAATCCTCACTGGGCCGGCCTGTGGTGGTGTGTAAGGCCGGCCCAAGAGGACTGCTCAGAGTGGGCTCATTGAGCCCACTTTAGACTTTTTTTTGCGTGCTGGAGGGTGCAGCAGACAGGTGTGCTACCGAGAAGGAGTCGTGGGGGAAGAGGTGTGCCGGTATTGCGTTGGCCACGCTCCCTATCCTCCGTGACTCGGCGGGGCTGCACCGTTGATCCAGTGGTGGTGCGACCGCGGGGGGTGGGGAATATCGGTATTGCGGTACGCCGTGCTCTCTACCCTCCGCAGCCGAAACGTGGTGAGTGGCGGAGCCACAGACGAAGTCCGCCGCTGGGGGCTGGAAGGCTTGCTGCTTATTGGCACTGGCTCTCCTTGCCTCCATAGCCTCTGGTCAGCGAACTCGGGGGAATTCGTTCGCCGTGAAAAAGGGGCGGAATAAGAAGACGCGCTGAATTTTCCACCGCGCCGTACCTGGAAGATAGGGGAGTTGCTCTCCGGGAGGGGGCTGCTGAGGCAGCCAGCGCTGACAGGGTCGCGGAAGGGTGCTAAAGCGTTCTCGTGACCCTGCTGATATGCACCTAGGTCTGTGATATGTTATGTTATGTGATGATATGTGTCTAGATCGTGGTCGGTGTATTCCGAGATAATTGCTCTTGTCTCCGCAAGGGTGGGTATGCGAAGGCATTTCCCCCACGTCAACAAAAAAAGGTGTAATCAAATATCTCAATAAATCGACTCCTCTAACTCAGTTAGCGTTCTGTTAATAGATAAATACACCAAAATTACCATAACCACAGCAGCAACGGCACCAAGACCAGTTTTCGTGTTGAAAGTGAAAAACGTCGTGAACACCGCAATGTCGGAATCATAACCATTCTATTTTTTACTAGCAAGGTCTACGGACCTACGGACGTATACGGCGCAGACACAAAAATATTTGTAGCTTGCCCTGCTCCAGAGAACAAAATCCTAGGCTCTAGTATAGTAGTTGTCATTCTCCCGTAGAAAGCTTACGGTTAATCATTCTCTCACATCATCGCCATCCCTCACTCGTGTGCACAAGCATGCAACTTGACCATAGCGGAAACTGCATTGGATTGCCGCACTTCTCCTAGACATGTATAGGATGTGTATAATTTTACACGTACAGACGATAGTCAAGCGGGGCTTTCATAGTTACTCGTACTTTTTACACAAATAATTTACTTTCAAATAAATTGTAAAGTCCGAAAAAGTCCACCAAATTATTCTATTCATCATTCATTATTCATCATCGTTTTTATCATAGTTTCAGCCTGTTCGAGTCCATCACTGAACAAAGGCAGATTTGCACCGGTCGTTTAGTGGAGGATGGTCCTACACTGCGATGGCCGATGCAAGGCTGCCACTGAAGAACCTTTCTTCCTCATCAGTCATCGATTCTACAAGGTATATGGCCTTCAGCTTACTCATCTTCTGAGCTATATCGAGTATAACCCGCTTCATAGCACGCTGAGTAACTTTGAGCTTTTTCATACAGCCAGCAGTGAAGGAACACGTCGCGGTTTCGTGAGTCATCACTTACAACAAACATTGATTGATAACTATAGGCTTTAATAATTGGGGGATATTGGATGAAAAGATATTTAAAAGATTCGTGAACGCTACCAACCTGAGTTAGATTCCCTGAGTGACCTCGGCTTCGATGTTAAACTTACCTAATCAGTATAATTGTCCTAGGTCATTGATGTCGACAACTTCGAGCAGAACAGTGCTCCCAATTACATATACTGGTTATGCATAACATGAAAATTATCATCATCTTAAACCCCGGCACTATTGAGGTCATTGAGCATAGTACCATATTCTGCCATGATAAGTATGTCTTTGCAAATAGAAATGGTGACCATTATCTTCACTACCACATCCCTTTTAGTCCGGGATCTTGAAAAAATCTTCCAATATAAAGGTGAAAAGTTTCGAGGATATGACATCACTCTGTCTTACACACTTCTAAATTTGAACAGAATGTTTAATAATTATAATAGGCTTTAGCATCTATTACAGATGATCTAAGTAGCGTCTCGGTGACATTTACGCTCGTGGCTGAAGACGCCGATCTGAGAGGTGATCCCTCGGCCGCACCCTCGGCAAGTGAAGCGCCCTCGTTGTTCGGGGTTGATGTCTCTTTCTTTACGCCCTGTATGCTTTTTCTTTAAAAGATCTAACCAAGATTCGTCGTGCTTAGATTGGCCTTCTTGAACAAGTTTACGCCAATTGCCTCGGACAGCTGACAGCTCTTCCCTTTGCTGCGTTGGGATGTTAAATGCGATCATATCACGCTTTACGCAATCTTTGAAGCGCAACATAGCCCAATGGGCCTTTTTGCGTCTGCGAGCTCTCCTAGTAAAATTTGTCTTGGCAGACGAGTCTGTTCCATGCGATGCACATGCCCGAGCCACCTGAGCTTTCTCTGTTTTAGGGTGGCGGTGATACTGGAAAGTTGCACAGCGTCTAGAACAGACTCGTTTGTCATGCGGGCTCTCCAGGTGACTCCTAGTATGCTTCGAAGACAGCGCATGTGGAAACTGTTCAGCCGACGTTCTTGCTTTGCATATGTCGTCCAGGATTCCGCTCCGTATAACAGTGCACTAAGAACGCACGCTTCGTAAACAAGCATTTTTGTTTTGAACGTTAGATGCTTGTTATCCCAAGCCCTAGAGCGGAGCTTCCCGAACGTGGTGGCCGCTTCGCCGATGCGGGAATCGATCTCTGCATCAAGCGAGAGATTGCTCGACACTTGCGAATCCAGGTAGCAGAACTTGCTGACCACCTCCAGTGGAGCGCCGTGTAGCAGAATTACTGGAGGCTCTGAGTTTCCTTGCGCTAAAATAACGGTCTTCTTAGCGTTGATAGACATGGAGAATTTTGAAGGTGGACGCCCTGATCTTCATTACCGAAATCAAAAGCTTTACCGCGGTAGAAGTGACAGTCGCCTCGGTCACATTTGCCCTTGTAAAGGGTTACAATGTTGGCATCACGCATATCCTGTGGCACGCAGCCCGTTTCCCAGCATTTGGCTAGATGGTTGTGAAGGACTGTTAGAAGGCACTTGAGCTTGACAACCTCAGTGTATACCTCGTCTTTGCCCGCACTTTTTTGCCTTTAAGCTGATTGACGGCTAGGTGGAGCTTCTCTACGGTGGGTACGACGTCTAACTCGCACCAAGTCTCCAGCCTTGGAACAAGTTCCACTGCTTCCAGCTTGATGTCAACGGGGCGAGAATAAAGGCCGGTGTAGTGTTCCACCCATCTAGTCATTTGTCGGCTACTATCTGTGATGACAAAGCCATTAATTTCCTTTAGAGGTGCCATCTTCTTCGGACTAGGTCCAATAGCTCTTTTTATACCTGCGTAAACACCGCCAATATCCCCTGCGTTCGCGCACGATTGGAAGCTAAGGCAAATTTCTGTCCAGTGAGCGTTTGTATAAAATCGAACGCTACGCTGGAGTGAAGATTTTACTTTTTTGAGCTCTTCACGTGTTGCATCGCACGGGTTGAGGTTTTGAGCAGCACGGGGCTTCCAGTCAATGATTGGCATCAAGTGCTTTTCATTTTCACGGAGCCAATCGCGAGCTTTAGTCTTTTCATAGCCGAAAGCCTCTCCTGCATTAACAGTGAGGAGAGTTTTTAGTCTTTCCCACTCAGCTTCCGGTGTTGCCGATCTGTCCTATGTAGCGTGTGTCTCTTTAGTGTCTCTTTAGCGTTTAGTAAGTGATTACGGATCGCAAATCCTACACCATGCTCACGGTTCTCTGAAGAACTCTTGCCCCTCCAGAAAAAAGTGTAGTTAGTCTCCCGCATAGACCCTTCGTCTTCGATTCTGGTCTCTTGTAAGGCCGCGATATCGACGTTGAGCCTTTTGAGTCGATGTTATAAGTTTTGCGCAGGTCTTGGGCGCAATCCAAGCTCCCACAGGTGTTCGGAAAGCCTGTCCTCATAGTTCGGACATTCCATGATGCGAAGCGCATGTAAGTAGAGTTGATGTTAGGTTTGGGTTTTTGTGTATTTGTTTGAGCAGATGTTTGTAGATACCTGAGTTTGTAGATACCAGAACTGATGAGTGGACCTACAAAGGATCCTCCTACTGTCGGAAGTGACCCCTGGCGCCCGTACTTACGCTTATTGGTGCTGACTTACAACCGGTAACTGCCACTTGTTGGCACTGTGTTGGCAACTGCAACTGTGTTGTTTTCCACCTGTAAGGCAGGTGGGCGAAGTGACCTCTCCGCGGATGCTACTACGCCTGGGACAGACGACTTTATGGCAGCACGGGCTTGCCCAGAACCCATGCCACCCTCTCCTCCTCCCCGGCAAGTCCCACAGGAATGACAAGTCAGTACGTGTGGTGCCGGTATGGCGGCAGGTGCCTGGCTCTCGCCTGAACGGAGGCACCGTTCCGGGTTTATTACTAGTTTTCCTTCTTTTTGGGAACTAGATAATGGTGTCCCTAAAGAGTTAGGGTGTTGGGAATGAAGGTGGGAAGGGAAGGGGGATAATACTGTCACGGGATGCAGGTGGAATGTGCCAGTAGTAGCTAGAGCAGTCCGGGGTCGCGTAGCCGTAGTGGTTCCAGCCAGCTATCGGACAGATAGCTGGTAGCCCCATCTTCTGGATCGAACAGAATGTTTACCTAACTAACTCGGACGGACCTATGTCCGCAGACTACGATTTTTTTTCCACTCACCAATTGATAGTGAAAATACCTGCACCGGTTCGGAATTGTAAGGCACTGTACGGAGAAGAACCGGTGAAAGAAACTCAGGGGCCTTTTTCAATTTTTTGACATACATGGTGTTGCGGACCACTTTGCTATTTTGATAGCTGATGTAGTTTTTTACTTTTTTGTTTTTGACGTTGTCTGTTTTACTACCTATTTCTTTCTGTTTGCTTGATTTTTCTGTTTTTTATTAAAAAATAATAATTCTTCAACTTTTATCATCGTTTTATCATTTGCAGAGATTAATTTGGTTTGTTCATTTCACATGGTTTGACATAGATGTTGCAAATACAATACAAAAACGCTGATTGAAAGATGATCGCCCCAGGCTCTTTCAATCAGCGTTTTTGTACCAGATTCATTACCAGAGTGTATTGTCATTTAAATCATCATCACCATCATTATATCAGCCATAGGACGTCCACTCTGACTCTAACATTGACTTCCACTTCGACCGGTCGTTAGCGGCCTGCATCCAACGCGTTCCTGCGATCTTGGCTAGGTCGTCCGTCTACCTTGTGGGAGGCCTTCCTACGCTGCGCTTGCCGTCACGTGGTCTCCACTCGAGAACCTTTTTGCCCCAGCGGCCATCGGTTCTTCGAGCTATGTGCCCTGCCCTCTGCCACTTCAGCCTGCTGGCTCGTTCTGCTATGTCGGTAACTCTAGTTCTTTTACGGATCTCCTCATTTCTGATTCAATCGCGTAGAGAAACCCCAAGCATTACCCTTTCCATAGCGCGCTGTGCGACCGCGAGCTTTCTTATGAGGTCCATAGTGAGAGACCACGTCTCGGCACCGTAGGTCATCGCTGGTAGCACGCACTGGTTAAAGACTTTCGTCTTTAAGGGCTGTGGTATTTTCCAGCCCAGCCGAGCTGGATTCATCGATTGACCTCCTTCTCGAAGTTGGATTTGCCTTGTTGGACCATTTGTCCCAGATAGACATAGCTATTAACAATTTCGAGTGGCGAGCCTCCCAACAATACAGGGGGGTGCTTCCGCTCCATGTTTTGGGCGTAGTACCTTCGAACAGGACGGAATTGAAGAGCTTCTGAAGGACTTTCAGTACCGGTGTTCCACCCGCTTTCAGAAGCTCTGATGTAATTCCGTCCTCACTGGCCGCCTTGTTGTTCTTAAGCTGCTTGAAGGCCATCCTAATCTCGAACAGGCAGATGTCCGGGATATTTTCTGTATAGAGTCGAGTTAGTTTGGCTCTTGGATCTTTAACCAAACTGTCAAAGGCTTGGCGCTCGAGATATAAAACTGTCCGAAGAACCTTTCAACATGATCCTTTCAAAAATTTTACTAAGAGTTGGCAGTACAAGGATACATAGGTCTAAAATTATTGGAGTCGGAAGTACTACCAGATTTAAACACCGAAATGATTTTAATATGTTTCATAAGGTCAGGAAATTCGTCACGATTGATACAAATATTAAAAATAGTTGCTAGGTAAGGTGAGATTACATCAATAATAGAACTGAATAGAATTTTAGAATTTGTTAGAAGCTCTGATGTCATTCCGTCCTCACCCGCCGCCTTGTTTTTCTTAAGCTGCTTGAGGGCCATCTTAATCTTGAACAGGCAGATGTCCGGCATATCTTCTGTATAGTGTCGAGTTAGCTTGGCTCTTGGATCTTTAACCAAACCGTCAACAGGCTTGGCGCTTGATATAACTGTCCGTAGAGCCTTTCGATCTCCCTCAGTACCTTTGACTTAGTAGACGCTACACTGCCGTCTTCCGTCTGCAGCTTTGTCAACTGGCTCTGCCCAATAGAAAAGTCTCTTGCGAACACTTTGGAGCCCTTATTAAGCTCTATCGTATCTTTAATACGATTAGTATTACATTTACAGATGTCGTGTCCCAAGGACTGATAAATCCGTCTATTGAGTTGCCGATATGCTTCAACGTCCTCAAAAGTCTGCAGAGTCATTGAGCTTCTCTCTGCCATAAGGTCGAGGGTATGATCTGATAATTTTTGAGGTCTATCTTTCCGGCGGGGTCTAAAGAAAGCTTTCCCTACCTCGTGGACAGTTTCTAACAGCCTGTTGTTGACCTTGTCCACAGAGACGCAATCCTCTCGGATGGAGAAGCGATTTGTGAGCTCGAGTTGAAAGCTCTCGGGGTTTTTGTATGTGGGCTGCAGTAGGTCGGAGCGTGGACTTCATTAATCGAGACCTTCCTAGGTGGACATTAATATTCAATGTGCCTCTAACCATTCTGTGATCACTACCGGTTATCACCCTGTGTATCACGGAGACATCATTGAATATTCGTCTCTTTGTCGACAAAATGAAGTCAATCTCATTGTTTGTGGGACTCATCCGAGTCCATTTCCTATGAGGCTGCTTCTTGTAGAAGGAGTTCATCATATAGAGTTCCTCATTCTCCAGAAAATCAGCCAATTTCTCGCCCCATGCATTTCTCCCCCCATATCCAAATTGCCCCACTCACAACTCATCATCGCCTCTCCTGCCTAGTTTCGCGTTAAAATCCCCCATGACAACAGTAAAGTATGTTTTGGAAGTATGTATGGCCCTACTGATGTCCTCATACATAACTTCCACTTCATCGTCCGGGTGCGCCGAGGTACGCCAACAATACGGGGGTGGGCGTCAAAAAAAAATCAAAATCATTTATTCATCGAAATAAGAAATATACATTCCATTTATCGATAATCATTTTTTAAATCTACCAACGTTTCGTAATGAGGTTCCTCTAACGGAGAAGAAACAGGCGAAAGAAACTCCGTAGGTATTCTCTTTTTTGTCAATTTTTTTCTCAAACAAATACATTTTTATATAGCACATTTTTTTTAGATAGAGCTTAGGAGCGATCATCCCATTCCCAGGGGTTATTATCGTTAATGTATTCATCTATATTATAGTGACCCTTTTTAAAAAGTTTTTCTTTAATAAATTTCTTAAACTTGTTAATAGATGGCTTTGCACATTAACTGGGATTTTGTTGTAGAAGCGTAACGTATATACACCGTCCCATGAACGAGTTACTGACTCTATGGAGTCTAGTAACAGGCGTTATAAGCTTGTGTTTGTTCCTGGTGTTTACATTATGTACATCAGTATTCTTATTAAAATTATTAATGTTTCTATGTACATACATTACATTTTCATATATGTATTGAGAGGCCAAGGTTAAAATATTTATTTCTTTAAATTTCTCTCTCAGAGATGCTTTCAAATTAAGATTGTAAACTGCTCTTATGGCCCTCTTTTGCAAAATAAATATTGTTTCAACATCGGCTGCATGCCCCCATAGCAAAATACCGTATGAAATTATGCTATGGAAATAACTAAAATAAACGATTCTAGCTGTATTTACATCAGTCAGACATCTTATTTTCCTTACAGCATATGCTGCAGAACTTAGTCTGCTAGCAAGTTTGGATATATGGGGGCCCCATTGAAGCTTTGAATCAAGAGTTATTCCTAGAAAATAGTGGTATCTACAAGGCCTAATTCGTCCCCATTAATAAGTACATTGGCACCACCCACGTGTTTAACATTAGGTGTCGAAAATTTTATACATTTAGTTTTACTGCCATTTAACAGTAAATTATTGGCATTAAACCAATGAACTATTTCTGACATAGCATGATTTACCTCGTCAAGTGTTACAATACGTCGCTTAATTTTAAAGATTAATGAAGTATCATCGGCAAACAACACTATGTCATGTTTTTTTCCTACCAAGGCTCACATGGACATTTGACATGACTTTGGTCTTTTCCATGTTCATATTCAGGCCCACCCGCTGGGAGACTCTATTGAGGTCTTCGAGCATTGTGCTAAGCTCCTCCAAAGACTTTGCCTGCGTGCGAGATGATTCGTGATCACCCTCGAAAACAGCTTATAAACATGGCTCAGAAGCGAGATGGGCCTGTAGTTCTTCAGCAAGTTTTCGTCACCTTTTCTTTGAAGAAGAGGACCACCGTGCTTCCGCTGCATGTTTTGGGCGTAGTATCCTCGAACAGGACGGAATTGAAGAGCTTCTGAAGGACTTTCAGTACCGGTGTTCCATCCGCTTTCAGAAGCTCTGATGTAATTCACTCCTCCTCACCGCCTTGTTGTTCTTAAGCTGCTTGAAGGCCATCCTAATCTCGAACAGGCAGATGTCCGGGATATCTTCTGTATAGAGTCGAGTTAGTTTGGCTCTTGGATCTTTAACCAAATCTTTAGAGGCTAGCACCCATGGCTCCAACGCTCGACCGACGCTGGACTGACGCCCGTCAACGTCGGTTTTGCAGCCGGAGCCCCCGGGCACTAGGGGCCGTGCTACTTTGTCCACCATCATATGGGGGGTATGTACCATAACCCACTGCGCTGGTCCAGTGCGTGTTGGTGGGTTGCCAGAGCCTCTTTCGCTCATCAGCAGAGTGCACCATGGGCAGGCGAGGTTGGCTTGGGTCCCGAAAGATCCCCTCCGACCGCCTTGACGTGGCGGAGGGGCTTAGTAGCCGTGGCTTGGTACCCCACGGCGAAGCTAAAGGGAACCCGCACTGGGCCGGCCTATGGTATAAGGCCAACCCGAGAGGACCGCTCCAAATGGGCTTCTTGAGCCCACTCTGGATGCGTGCTGGAGGGTGCAGGGGATATGTCGAGGGTGGTAGAGGTGGAGCCATTCTCCCTGTCTTCTTCTACCGCGGAGGAGTCGCTGGGGAAGATGCGTGTAGGTATTGCGTTGGCCGTGCTCCCTATCCTCCACGACTCAGCGGGGCTGCACCGCTGATGTAGTAGTGGTGGGGCCGCGGGGGGGACGGGGGGAGTGTCGCTATTACGGTGCGCCATTCTCCCTATCCTCCGCGGCCGAAACGTGATGAACGGCGGAGCCGTAGACCAGGTCCGCCGCTGGGGGCTGGGAGGCTTGTTGCGACAAGGGCGGGTATGCCTAGGCATTTGCACTCCATTTAATAATAATAATGCGAATTTCTTCGATTGAGATTTATACGATAGGTTAGATCTTAGTTTTGCTCGGCTTTTTTTAGTTTCTTTTTCTTTCTTGGTTCTTAGTTTTGCTTGCTTAGTCTTATACGAATATTCTTGATTTTGCTTTGCGATTTGGTTAGTTGTTAGGCCGTGAGTTAGCTAATTGTCCGGGCGCTCGCTTATAATTCAATATACTCGAGCAACCTGAGTTCGGTCCCCGGTACCGGCACCAATGAAATTTTTAATTTTAAGTACTGACTTATCACGTGCTCAACAGTAAGGGACCTACTTTGGCGGGCCAAATGTAGGGGGCTGCAAATAAGTGGGGTTTTTTAAGCAGCGTTGCTCGCCTTTCGTCTCTGGCTTCTTTGCGTAGGCGATATTTCATAAAAAGTTTCAAGTTTCAAGTTTCTTTAAAGTATAATAACTCAAGCGGGACTGATAAGTAGGTATTCGTCGGCATTCGTCGGCTCCATAATGTCATGTACTTTCTTTGTTTAATTTTTTGTGCCTTCCGGCGAGTCTTTTCTCTTAATCTTCGGAAATTACTAACTGCTTTGTGGTTTAGAAATTATGTTCGTTTTTTGTCACTGACTTACAAATTGTATCTGATATTTTTTTTGTAATTAAGTACTTATTTTGTAGTATTTTCTAAACAATTGAACGTAAAAAAAATTATTTGTTTAATAAAAAGATCTCAAAAATATCGCAATCATTGATCTCTGTAAACTCACAAACTACAGATTTATAGATTCAACAAGTCTGCAGTTTATGAGCACACCTTAAATCGGCCCAACCATTACATAGGGTTGGACAGACCACAGATCCTTGCAAAAGAACACCGATTCCTCCCAAGAAAGATTTACGAGGTGGTTGAAATAAAAAAAAAAACACTTTAATTTCAATGGAGAAGAGGGTTGTCTCGATCTACCATCAGTTTGGGATCCTATCATCAATAAAATTAAACTAGGCCCAAACGAACCACTACTGCAAGACAAGATACAATAAACTCCTTCTGCATAGATCGGATATAAAATTAATAATTCAAATACTGACGATAGCCCGGGTTAACTACGACATTCAGACGTCCAACGCCTTAGTCTCTGTCTTATGATCATGAACGCTGTAAATGATTCGTCGGGAATCCCTAAAATTTGTTTCATTTATAATGTGTAATCGCGTAAAAGAAATTAACACTCTCGATTTTAAGAACATTGTTAATGAGATACTTGTGGGCGATAAATCGGACAACTTCTTAGGATATTGCTACATCTAGTCGTCATCGTTGGTAGGTGAATCGCAGCCGCAGATTCTTATCAATCCCGGCCCTGCCGTAAACCACTACCATAGCCAGGAATAGTAGAGACAACGAACACTGGGGGCCGTATATTTCAAGTTTTCATCAAAGGGAACTTCCATGGTTGTCACATGTGGTGAGGGGGTTGGTGCAACCGCAATTATTTCCTGAACCCTTACACCTTAAATACCGCTATCCTTGCTTGGGCTGAGTATTTAGGGTCTTGAAATTCAAAATGGCTATCCCGATCAGAGGCTACTTGATTTCTGCGGCCTAACCCCTAGATGTCTCTTATATTACTATATCACAGTTAGCGTCACACCCTCGGAATGTAATGGGGTGACTTATTCTTCACTGGCGCTACACTTCCAAAAAGTTATTTTAGTCGAAGGTCGAGCTCTTCTTCTAATGTAAATACTAGTATACTACTATAGATTTTTTAAGAAAACATCAAAAAACTTATTCCATTTCTCTGTTTATTACAAAGCTGTAAATATAATCTTTACATTTATTTTTGAATCATCAAATTTGATGAAGGATTTCAGAAGTTATGGCGTTCTAACAAACTTTAACTTTTGATAATAATGTAAACAGAATTCCGATTCACATTTAATAAAATTTCTTACTGCTTCAAATAGTTTTCATAATTTTTTACAACTATTTAAAGAATTCACATTGTTTTTATTACATTATGAAAAATATTAATTTCAGAACAGAACGAGGTGACATAGCAGTTTCGAAGAGGCATAACATCGAACGAAGCCCGTACAGGATTAGTACTGGTCAACTGCGAGTCGAACTCGTATGCCGACGACGGTTCCGCACCTACCCATTACACCGCCATAATATAATTGGTAAATAACTACCAATGAATTTCTCAGGAACGCGTGAACCTAGCAAGTTGAAATTTATACTAAGTACTGAGATCTATAGTCACTAGTAGATATATAAAAATCAACGTTACGAAATTTGGCAAAAAGCAACACAAGCAAAGAGAAAATTCTAGAAAATAAAAAAGTTGGAAATTAAGGTTAATTATTTATTTGTTTATGTATTGATTTATTTATTGATAGAACCACCAACGGAATAACATGTTGTTTTGAAAAAAAAAAACATGTGACAATAGGCTTAGGAACTAAGATATACATGTTTCCATTTAAAGGTAGTTACAGCATGTTTAAAAAGACGATAAGTGTACGATAACTTAATAATTGTTACAAGTACGAGTAAAATACTAATATAAAACAAACAAAAATAATAAGAAAAATATGAAAATTAAAAATATATAAAAATAACGACATTTTATATCGAGTTTATATAAAGTTATGGTATAATTTTTACTATGAGTTATTAAATAGATTGACAATTTTGGCTCTAAAAGTTTTTATACTATCGCATAATAAGTCAATAGTCTTATCTTTACGGACACATTCGTTATACAATCTGCTTATTCTCGGTATAAGAAAGTGATGACCAAGATTAGTTTTATACAATTTGTGTTTGAGTAATGGAATCGAAAAACGCGGTACACGGCAGGAAACTTTAAACAATATTTGTGATAGTAAATCTGCAGAATCTATAGTCCCATTTGTAAGCTTGTACATGAACTAAGTCATGTAGTTTACGTCTGTCCGATAGTGAGTTTAATTTAAATTTTAGGAGACGAGTGGAATAGGATTCCATATGATTACCACTAGAACACTATTGAGTTAATCGTCTTTGTATACTTTCTATACGATCTTTGTGTATTTGATAATTAGGGCGCCATATGATGGTGCCGTACTCCAATTTACTTCAATCCAAGGAAGTGTAAAGAAGTTTTTGATTTTTTCGTATTATAAATATATAATATTAAATTTGCACATATCTTTCTATCGTGTTGACTCAGGCCCTTGATTTTTATACACCCAATGAGGACTATAAAACTCAGTATCTTGTGTTAATTTCAATGCTCCAGGTTCACCCGTTCCTGCGAAAATCGGTGGCAACACGCGGACAGACAAATGGACAAGAGAATGATTTTATAGAGGTTCTTTTTATCTTTTAAACACGTCTGTTTTCATTGATATTTAATACATTTCATTTATATTTAAAGGCGATAGGCACCCATATACTGCTGTACATCGTGTCACTACTAAAATGTAAAGTGAAAATAATGAGAAATGTAACCTTACAGCCAAAATACACTGGGCCGAAAAATAACCTATCGCTTAAAAATCTTCCTTAAATATCTTAAATTGATTCCTCAAATTGTAGTTTAAATGATCAACATCCACATCGGAAAACATAACGTTCTGTGTGATTTCGACCATACGGTTTGCTCCCCTGGCAACTCATAACTTTGAAAAAAGTTTTGTGAGAAGTTTGAGGCCACTTGCTGGCCTATAAAGCTTCATAAAAGCTTCGGAAGTAATCGTAGAATCGTAGAGGTAGAGCAGATTGTAGTGAAAAATTTATATTTCACCGATGTGAAATATAAATTTCTTAGCATTATGCTCACGATGAATCTCGTTTGAAAGTGATGAAGTGTGCACCTTGGCTTTTTGCTCAATTCCTAGTTTTTTTTTTGGATATCTAGAAATTGCTGGGGTACTTTGGACTGTACATAAAGATACCTACTGTTCTGTAAATACTATGCTGACACGAAGTCAGCTTCTTGTACCATAGTTATAATCCGTATGTATTCTTCATGTAATAGCGGCATGATGATTACTGTGAAAAATCCAAGAATTTGTAATGAAAGTTCAGCTTAAAGCAAAAGCAAAATAACTCTTGATTAATTTTTAATTTCGTTATTTTACAAAATTATAAATTTTATTTTCTAAGCTTAATTTGTACAAATGAACCCTTCTTCGTAATTATACTATTCAATACTAATCTGTTTATAACATAAGATACATTTAAACAACTTGGAAAATTTTTTTGTGATTTTTCTTTTGTTATGCATAGGTACACATATTTCTAATTTATCATATTTTTTTTTAATTGTACCAGGCTTGTTAAACCGTGTTACCATAATATATAATAAAATCTAGTCTCCAGAAGACTGTGTTTATGTTTTAATAGAAAATAATATGCCCGTTTAGATGGGTTAGTATAAGTAGCAGGTTTTCTTGATAAGAATATTTTTGTAAGCGATGAGGAAT